CCAAGGAACCATGTTCATGCTTTTAGTAAAACACTGAAACAGGTTACCCAGAGAGGTTGTGGACTCTACATTCTTGGAGATTTTTAAGACCCAGCTAAACAAAAGCATTGGCTGGGATGATCTAACTAGGGATGGTCATGCTTTGAGCAGGGGGTTGGACTAGATGTGACCTCCTGAGGTCCCTTCCAACCCTAATTTTCTATGATTTTATGTTAATTAGCCCACACGCATGACTGGAACTAGGTGTTCTTGTCACAAATCCTGGGGTGCTCCTAGGCACAGGTCAGCCTGGTCTAGCTTCACCTCATAGAGGCCAGAACCACACTAATTATGCAACAGGCTAAGAGGGGGTAATTGAGGGATTCTGGGTGAAATATTTGGGACCCATTTCATGATGTTTGCCAGGCATTTAAGCCTGGTGAACAAGCAGGAATCTTTGGAATTGGGAAAGAAAGATGCAGCTCAGCTGTGGGTGTGAAGAGGAAGTAAAAATATATTCAGTGTAGTGGCTCACTATGAATGAAAAAAAAAAAGTCAGTGCTGAAGGGGGCTGTGCTTAATATGCACTGCCATACGTCTTATTTAGATGGGCTGCACTGATCTGTCTTTGTGGTAGGTTCCTGTCAGCATGTTTGTCTAATGTGGACCACCATGTAGTTTACAGTCATACTCAGCGTTAGGTGCTCTTAATCAACTTCATAGTTAGTTTCCATTGCTAACTACATGCTGCTTTTGGCAGCTGTTTAATGATGGGCATTGTTATTTAATGAGATTTCCTTGTATGTGAACATAAGTCAAGAGGCTTTTCCGCCCATGCCAACTGGGGATAAACTTTGTCTTGTATTTGAGTAAATATGGTAAAAGGCTAAAGGATTTTATAAGAAAGATGGAATGAGTTGCGTATGTGTAAATTTGCTAAATTATCACAAGGGAGATAATGATGACAGGCTTCGAATACCCAGAATCTGTGCACACTGAATGGAAGAAGAATTAGTAAAATACAGGTATAGGAAGAATTAATGGGATGAATTAAGGGGGAAAACCATAAGATGAATTTTAGCAGGAAAAACTTCTGAACAGTAATATCTATTAGGTTGTAGAAAAGTCTCCCAAAGTGACTGAAGCACCATCATGTGGGGTATTTAAAATGGCATTAAATTCAAGATATGCATGGAAAATATACATTTGTTGTAATTTTCCATGTATAGAATCTAACTATTGGAGGGTCATCTTAAATTTGTTCTTCCACCACCTACTATTGCAGCAGGGGGGCAGTTAGGGGGCAGGCAGTGGGGGAGGCAGGTCAGAGGAGGTAGGCAGCAGGCCTTCATCACTGCCCCTTACCCCTCCACACCTTGTACCCTGCTGCCTTTTTACCCCCACTACTTGTCCTCCCACCCCCATGCTTTCCCCCCCATGCCCCTGCAGCCTCGGGTCCCGGGTTGGGGCTGGAGCCACAGCAGCTGCTGGTCCTCTCCCCCTAACCTCATACTCAATTCCAAAATGAGGGGCTTCCCCCTCTTCCCTATGTTAAATGGGGAAGAAAACCTCATCTTGGAGTTTGAGTAAATATGGTATAAGGAACTTTGCATAGATCCAACCGTATGCAGAACAGGCCCTTCCCAGCACTGAGAAAACGTGCATATTTCTGTAATATGCCTAGGTGCTCTACAGTGCACGTATTACTTGAATAAATGATGTGTAGGATACACACGGTCCTATGCAGGCAATGAAACTGCAATATTTTTCTTTCTTTTCAGGGACACAGATGGAAGAATGCTCTTAGATATTTTTGATGAAAACCTCCACCCCCTTTCGGTAAACTCTTCTCTTTCATGAGACCAGGTCTGCTTCCTTTCCCTGTTTCTGTGTATTTGACTCAGTCACCTGTTTCAAAACGTTTCCTCCTCAGAAATCCGAAGTGCCACCAGATTATGACAAACACGACCCAGAGCAGAAACAGATTTACCGCTTTGTTCGGACGTTGTTCAGTGCTGCTCAACTGACCGCTGAATGTGCCATTGTCACCCTGGTGAGTGTCTGCGAAACGACATCAACCATTCAACAGATCCACTCTTGATTCCTGAGCTTGTTCCTGTGCAGTGTAATAGCTCTTGGTATTGTCAGGGACCCTTTTTTTTCCGCCTCATCGGACTTTGTGTAGAGAATATGGAAATTATTTCAAGCAAAAAAATAGGGCGTGTCTTTTTCTCTTTGAGATGAGTTATTGAAGTGTCCCAGGAGGTTGTGTAAGATGACACAAAAGCTGGGATTACATCTTGCTCATACAGAGCGATAGCATTGCAGGCTATCAGGGTGACTCATATGAAACACGGGTGGGGCAAGCATCCTTGCTGTGTGGGAATATTAGCAGCTGAAGCCCTTTCATTTCTGGCAGGTTTATTGTTTATCATTACAGCATCCAGTGGAGGCTTTTACACAGCTATCAGTAATTTCCTGGCATTAATAAGAGTTGATGGATGCACAGAGGGCTGCGAGTGACTGGAGCATGTTTGGTGTCTGCTATTTTTACTTGCATTGTACATGTTTTTCAGCAGCATGTCAGATTACTGAACAATTAAATAGCTAAGGATGACATCCACATAAAAATAGACTCTAAAGATGAATGGTCAGATTTTCAGTTGGTATAAGTTGATGCAGATCACTGACTTCTTGAACTACTGGAGCTAAGCAGCTTTCCACCAGCTGATTTTAAATACCTGTCCATCTGACTATAAGAAATGTTTTCAGCTTTCAGCTATGGTCGTTGCCACATTCTTAGTTTCAGAATGTTCTTTTAAAACAAAACACCAAAAAACCCAAAGCAGGCTGGACATCTTCACCTCTTCAGAGCGTTTTTCAGGACAGATTCACCATGTTTGTTTTGTTTTAGTTTTGTTTTTGTTTTTTTTGTTTAAGAAAATGGTGTTGAGAGGAGCATTGCAGTGTGACTCTGCTCTTCCCTTTTTATAATTTTCTAAAGCTTTTAATCAATGCAGCCCCTGTCCTTCAGTTCAAGAATAGCAAGCAGACATGGTTTTTTCTCATTTGGCCCACCACAGCAGGGCAAATGAATATGGAAGAGAAGTGAGAGATGCATCTTACCCCCTTCCTATCCTGAAAGTCCTTGACTGGGGTACCCCTGAACCCCTTAACCTAGCCATTATCAGTAGTTCTCTCAGATGGGTTTTACTTCTTTGTCTCTTGCATACATATAATAGTGTTTAATTGAAAGAAAGAAATATCGAATGCAGTGCAGCCCTGTTCCACAAACTCCTGATAATCAAATACGAGTTACTAATCCACAGTGAACTGATCCATCATTTGAGTTGGAAAGAGGATCTGCGTATATTAGAATAATTATTCTCTTTGCGTGGCTCCCCCCCCCACTGGAATCTTGTTAAGAGCAGTATGATTAAAAACACAGCCACTTGTTTCTGTTTTACTCAGCAATTATATAAAATGTTTAAAATTATTGGTTCTTTTATCTTAATTTCTGACTGTCTCTTGGTAGTCTAATCTTGGACACAATCATTTATGGTACTTACAACTTCTTGTGACATGAGTGGGAACTGGGTGTGCTCACTACCTCAACAAATCAAACCATTGCTTTGCTTTTGCTCTTGTTTCCGTGTCTGTAAATATGAGGCTAATAATTCCCATGTCTGTAAGATGCTTCAGAACTTTGCATATGCGGTATTTAAGAGTAGCATAATAGTATTTTTAATACTATTTCATTTATTATTTCAGTGTTCTTCTATTCGGCCTTGACTTCCATTTCTTCCTGTGTCACCATTGCTCTCAGCATGGATCTCAGAAAGACATAGCCTTGCTTTTGATTTGTGTGGAAATTGCTATGTGGGCTTTACTATTTCATTACAGACTTTTGCCCAAACCCTCCTAGCGCCTTAAGTCTTGTGACCATGGCCATAGATAAAAAGCAGCCTTCTGTCCACAAGTCTCTGTTTCTGTGTTGGTTCCCACATTGGACTGCATTCTGATTCCCCAGGCTTCTGGTTGTTTCTTTTTGTCAACATGCAGGCAGGCTGTGGGGAAGCAGATCACAATACAATTTGAGCAAGATACTCCAGTTGTTGTTTTTCATAGTCTCTTTAATGTTTTTTAATAATAATAAAATAACAGAGATCAAGGTAGTATCTGATGTAAATGCACTGCTGTCTGCTTCCCTTTTAGCATGCAGAGATGCACACTGCAACATTACGATTATTGCTACTGTTTTTGCTTCTCAGGCAGTATGCCAGTTTATGCTAGATGCAGGAACTGAATGAAAATGGATCCCCAACTTGTGTTAGATAAGATGATCTCCACAAAACATTAACATTTTAGCACTCTAAGCACTTAATTAAAATTATTTCAATTAAAGCCTGTAATAGTACAACAAACCAATTTATAATTAAAAAATATTTAGTTTGCACACTGCCCTCCAAAGCTGCCAAGAGATTTCTTGTACTGATATATGAGAAAATTAAAATCCAAGGCTGAGACTATTTAAAATACTAACTTCCATTATTTATAAAACAACACCACAGCACCAACATTAACTGAAAGATTTAATTATTGCTGATTTAAAAGAGATTTAAGCAGCAGACTTCTTTTGTCACATTTACATAATGGTAATTTTTGTCCTGGTGAATATCTGTGACTTGGCTTTGCAGATATGGGCTCTTTTCCTTCTCTAGGGGGCACTGGCATTCTTGCTGGCACTAAGATCTCCTCCATTTTCCATAAAACATATTTAACCATTGTCCTCAGCATAAATGCTGAGTATTACTATTATCAGTAGCTATAGGAAAATAATATGTTATGTAAGTGTCACCATCATAAAATATTTATACATTATCATTTTGTCCTAGAAAAACTGAAAAATCATGTCTGCATTTGACTAGGAAAAATTGTTCAGTGGACATTGAGTCCCCCATTTGTCACAGGCTTGCTTTTTGATCTTTAGCAAGACATTTAGGTACCTATCTGTGTATCTCAGTTCCCATTCTAACAAGGGAACCGCAATATTTGCCATCTTACAGAGGCATTGTGAGAATGAGCACAACACAGACTGTGAGGTGGTCAAGTACTGGTATAATGAGACCACCTGAATACTTACTGGTGAACAGAATATTTTTGTAAAATTTAGTTACATAATAGAGAAGGCATGCACTAGTGCCTGAATCGCCGTGGCACTCCATGTTTGTCCCAAGCTCTTACTACAGCATATCACCATGATGGGAAGAGTTGATATATACTCAGGAGTCTAAAGTCTTCATATGAAAACTATGGATTTAATGAATCCAATCAAATAATGGTGAGTCCTGACTATCCCTGCCAGTTGTGTTTTTATCAACTCAATAAACGGAATGTTGTGTAACTGCAAAGAGAAAATTAATCCTGCTGTAGCACAGTACTGGTTTACTCAGTCACTGCCGGTAGGATACTTCGCCAGCATTCTTGAACTGACTATTTAACTCTCCTCATGGACTAGTGGGAGGTTACGTTCTTTCTACAGGTACTGCTCATTTGACTTCATTTAAATGGAATATTCTGAAGTCGGTGTTAGTGAAAGTCGTTTAATCTAAAAGCATTTGCGTTTGACTTGCTGACATTGATGGATTGAGGTAAAAGATATTCCCCTTTTGGCTGTCATCAATTCCTGGGTGTCTAGAAGCCAATTTCACCAAGTTTCATTTCATTTCAGCAGATTGCACTGGGAGCAGGTTTTCTTGAAGTTTTATTTTGTGCATAAAGTAGAATAGTGGGTTATATTCTTATATAAAATATAATATAAGAATATATTTAATGTTTTCTTTTATATAGAATTATATTCTCATATTTTTATCCTGGGATAAACTGTTAGCACTTCTTATCCCATGAACCTTTTCGGTGTTTATCCCAGGACAATGAATGATTACACTTTGACCCAGGGAAAATGGTTTCTCCTGGGACAAATGCAATGTCTGTCCATAGCCTAATAGCACTGGCAAATTCCTTTTCTTTACAAAACAAACAAATGAACATGAAAAGATTTTTTTTTTAAGTCAATAAGCTCTTGGAACAGCTTTAATAAGACTGTGACTAGCAAAAAGAACAGTGCCACTAGCATGCACAGGTTTTGATTACATGCATCTGTCCAATGCAGATGTGGGATTCATGTCACTTGGGCTAGGTTGTATATGAGTGTGGGGATATTTAACTGAAATTCCTCCATAGTTAAGTGTATAAGAATATAAAATTCTTATATAAGCTGATGTGAAGCCTTAGACTCACTTCTACTCTTTTTATTTTGACAAAGCCAAAAGATTACTGTTTTATGTATTCCTTGTACTGACACGTACCTGCTAGTGTTTTAATATTCATAGTAGGTAGGGTTGAAAGGGACCTGAGCGGATCATCAAGTTCGACCGCCCGCCATGGCAGGAAAGAATGCTGGGGTCAAATGACCCCGGCTAGATGATTATCCAGCCTCTCTTTGAAGACCCCCAGGGTAGGAGCGAGCACCACTTCACTTGGAAGTTGGTTCCAGATCCTAGCCACCCTGACTGTGAAGTAGTGCCTCCTGATGTCTAGCCTGAACCTACTCTCAATCAACTTGCGGCCGTTATTCCTAGTTACTCCTGGTAGTGCTCAGGGGAACAGGGACTCTTCCATTCCCCGCTGGTCCCCCCCCTGGTAAGTTTATAGATGGCCACCAGATCCCCTCTCAGCCTTCTCTTGTGGAGGCTGAACAGGTTCAGGTCCCATAGCCTCCCCTCGTAGGGTCTGCCTTGCTGCCCCCTGACCATACGAGTGGCCCTCCTTTGAACCCTCTCAATGCTGTCCACGTCCCACCTGAAGTGCGGTGCCCAGAACTGGACGCAGTACTCCAACTGCGGCCTGACCAATGTTGCATAGAGGGGGAGGATCACCTCCTTGGACCTGCTTGTGATGCATTTGTGGATACATGCCAAGGTGCGGTTGGCCCTACTGACTGTGTCCTCACATTGGCGGCCCATGTTCATCTTGGAATCAATAATGAATCCA